TTTGGGTGAGGCAGCATGGCCAAAGATCACTAAATGGCTAAACTTAAGTAAGGCACTTTAGCTGCGAGTATAAGTCGGTGTGGTGAAGGTCACATGACTTCTGCCATTTACAAAAGCAAGTGAGCTGTAACATTGTACACCTTGTCCTTTGAGGCACTGCTTAGAGTCATGGGAAACGAGCTAGAGCATGAATTAAAAAAAAAAAAAAAAAAAAGGCATGATGTATGGGATGCTACAATTCCTGAGGCACATTAAGCGTCTCCTTTTTTCTTTTTGTCTTTATGTGGAAAAAGGTGGAGAGAACCATGTTGGCTCTAAATCTTAAACTCACTGTATTCCTTTTATTTGGTGGAAATTTTGCCAAGCTGGGATTGATTTTTTTTATTTTTATTTTTTTATTTTTTTATTTAATTAAAATTATTATTATTATTTTTTTTTTTGGGGAGTACTCTGTTAGGGGTAAACAGAATAGTTTGTCATGGTCTTGCGTGTCCGGAGTCTACTCTGCACTTCTTCAGCTTGGGGATAGAAGATGTTGATTTAAGTAAACTATAAGCTGTTCCTCCTACAGCCAAGTAAGACGACAAGAAATATTCACTGCTGACTGTTTGATTAAGGCCAGCTTTTAAACTCTTCAAGCATCACTAAGCCTCCTGAAATGCCTTTTTTTTTAATTTTTTTTAAAATTTATTTATTTATTTATTTATTTTTTTGGAAGCAGAATGTACTTGATCTGCACATCATCATGTGTATATAGGCAACAGGGATGCAACATCAGTGTATTTTTCTCCCAGGTTAAGCAAAATGGCACATTTATTTGCTGCTTTTGATTTTATATGTGGAAAGCAATTTTTACTGTTAGTCTAACAAAACCATCCATCCTTTATCTTGACCCACTTCTTCCTTTTTGGGTCACGGGGGTAAAGTAATGCTTTTTAACATATGGGTATTTATTTATTTTTTAAAATTGTGACGATGTGCAAAAAAAATCTGAATAATTAAATTAATTTATTGTGGGGGTTTCCATTCTCAGCGCCCCCCCGGTGATAAGTGGAAAAACTGCGAAGTTCGAATAGTAGAGCCGTCATTTCTAACCTGGGCCCAAGGCCCAGCATGACCTGAATTTGGAGCGGCCCGGGCCATGGTAATGTGATGGATGGGCGGGCTGGGTCGGTGTCAGGCTTTTGATTGCATCAGTGGATCAGCTATGATCCAATTTTATAGCAACGTGGCTTGCCATACAATCACCAGCCGCACGCGGCCATTTCACCGCAAGTTGGCCGGCCTTGAAAGATGTAAAATAAAATTCAGTTAAGCTTTAGATGGGACTATACTGCCAGGAAGCGATCCATTGCCCAAATGGACATTCGTTCAGCGGACGCACGCAGCCGACGACCCAAACGGGTAACATCCCAAAGCAGACATGTCAAAGCAGGGTCCGTGTCTGAATAATGCTGAATGTTTGCAGAAGCAGGGTTTTAATGTGCTTTGATGGCCATGAAAGGACAAACACCCCCTCAGCTCTGATCTTCTTCCCCTTTTATTTTGCCACTCGCCTCCACCGACCGTTAACTATATAAGCAAAGCTTAATTAAAAACGTGTTTTTTTTTTTGTTTTTTTTTCCCCCGGTTTCGGACCTGTAATTACTGTTAAATTGTCAGGTTGGGTGGGGTTTGGAAATGATGCCTACAGGCTGGGGCTGTCAAGATTGGATTTTTTGGGTCCGAATGCAACTTTTAAGGAATAGTAGTACTGTACAAGTAGTAAGTAGTAGTTTATTTTAGTGTGTTTATACTAAGACGTTTTAAACCCTTCCCACACTCTTGGAATATTCAAAACAATGTTAATTCTAAACGCTCTAAAAGAGCACAGCATGTCATGATCTCTGCTCTTTCTGCCACCGGCTGCTCTCTGCCACCTGCCAGTGCTCTCAGCCACGCCCACTTCTCCAGCTCATGACATGCTGCAGGAGGGAGCTTCTCCCTGCTCCTGTGGGTTGCACACAGTGGCAGCAGGTGCTAAATCATTTAACATTTATTTAAATAAATAAATCCATATTGATCATACGGCTCAACAATCAATCAGCCAATTGTGTGTCATGTCCACTCTTACTTTGAAAAACCGCGAAAGAGCGAGTCCGAAAGTCGAATCGCAAAGTAGCGAGGGACTACTGCTAATATTCATTCAACCTTTTTTATTTAGACAGGTTAATCCAGGGGTGGACAAACTTTCGGACATGCGGGCCACACTGAGTTCTAAAATTGGATCGAAGGGCCGGGCCAGAAACAGATGGATGTAGTGTTTGTGTGATGTTACACCCCAGCGCAATAACGGCTGCCGGGACGCTATTAATTATGGGCAGATTCCACCTTCTGTACCACTCAAGCAGCCACTAATTCAGATTATATGATAAAACGGTGATTTTATTTACAATGGTGAAATTATTGACTTTGTGGAGTCTTGCCAACTTCAGGCCAAAAAAAACTGTATTTTCTCTTACCTGAAGAAAAATAAAATGAACAAAACCACAAGTCTCTTACCTCATTATGCTAATGGAATACAGGAGAAAAGTCGAAATAAAGTGGAGCTCACCTCTACAAACTCCACAACTTTTTACAACTACAGGATCTAAAGTTGATGACAGCAGGTCAGCTGTGGCAGGCTGGGAATGGAAGCAGACGTCATCCTCCTGCAGCATCACAACAGAGTACCTGGACAATAATTCACACGCGTTTTTCACTTTTTTTTTTTTTTTTGATAATTCACACACGATTAAGTTTCACTCACGCGCGCACACAAAGCATGACTTACAGAGATTCCTGATGGATGAAAAATAACATCCTGGTCGAGTTTTCCTCTTTCACTTTATCCTGGATTCTTTTCAGCAGACTGACATGTTTTCCAGTTAAATTTAGTGATCTGTCCATTGTGACATTAACTTTACTCCACAGTATCTTAATTCTCTCGATGACAGCAGACTGAAAGGAAAAACACGGAGAGAGGATTTTTATAACGGAGACTCCAGGGTCAAACGCCTCAATTATCTCAAAACCGTTCTCAATCCCGCATATATTTAAAAAAAAAAAAAGAAAATGGGAGATGAGTAGTGTCCTTTTTTTATTACTTTCATCCAGTAAACCATAACTTAAAGGACTCTGATGAAGATTTAGCCAGCAAAACATGCTAAAAGGCAGTCAGTTCCACAAGGCGAGTCACAGTCCTGCATGATAAACTGACTTTTTCTAACTTGTCTTGGCCGTTCAGACACAATAGACCTGCTCTGTTTTTAACAATGTTTCTTTTAAAAAAAATGCCATCTGAGAAAGGCTTGCTAGCATAGTTAGCAAAGTGTATTCTTTGAAAACCGCGACGGGTTCTTGGCATAAAAACTGCCTTTTGATTGGACCTCAGTGAAACTATGTTGTCCACCCCATTTTAAACACTCGGCACTCACTGTACACTTTTCTTTTCTTTGATAAACACGTTTTTACAGATGAGTTCGTAGGGCAAAGTAAAAATAAAAGCGTAGAAGAAGAAATTACTACTTATCCACTTGCCTCTAATACACGCCAGTGTCTGTAGTGCGCCTCTACTGGTGAAATGCTGGAACTACAGGTAAAACACACCAGTTTTTTTTTTTTTTCTTATTAAATTCAGTTTTTTAAATATAATTTGAACCAGTGGTGATTTTACCTCTTTTGGGGGCCCTAAATTTGACCTCAGCAACCCTGAAAAATAGTGTATAAAAAAAAAATAAAAAAAATAAATAATAATAATAATAATGTATAGATGTATATATGTATAGATATAGATATAATAATAATAATAATAATAATTTTAATTGTCCAAATTTTGGACAATTTCGGCGGGCCAATTAAAAAGCCCAACAGGCCGTATACGGCCCGCGGGCTGGGGTTTTCCCGTGCCTGAGTTAATCCCACTGAGCCTCGGGCACTCATTTACTCATTTACATTAAAGTCTAGTTCTTCAAGGAATGCCAATCTGCCACCAGAGTCTTAGACATTTTGAACAAACCTTGAAAATAGTGCTAATATGTGGTGCTACAAACATACAAAACTGTAGAGCAATTTCTGTAAAAATTACTTTTTAAAATGGCAGGTTTTGTGTTCTGTAAGGACAGTTTGCTGTGGCGTCCATTTTGAATTGGATCCTTTCAGCAGTCTGTGTTGAAGCAACAGTTTTAAGTCACAATTTGCCTCAGTTTTTATAAAACATCACCTTTTTTTTTTTTTTTTAAACGTTTTTGTCTGGCCGTTTTTACTTTTTTATTTTTTAGAGTTAAAAGTCTGATTCTAATTTGAGCTTTAAACAAGTGTAAACTAAAATCAGACGTTTTGCATGCCATCACTACATATGTTGCGTGAACCGTCACTTTAAATTTTACATCACATAGTGACTTGACTCAAATTACTGAGAAAACAAACTTGAGAAAAATCAGTACCATACCAGCTTTATTTAGAGCACTTTAAACACAAATGGGACCAAAGTGCTGTACTCATAATAAAAAGATCATAAAACTTATTTGAAGCCCCTCTTTCTTTAGTAATTACATTGGTAAGTAAAAAAAACTTAATGTTACCTGTTCCTTTCCCCATATTGTTGATTATGAAGCACTGTAGGAAATAAAAGTAGGGGCTTTCCTTGGCTGGTGGGGGGAGCCTGCGTGATGTTGTCAGAGGAGATGAAAGAAGAAGCTCTAAGACTGCAGTCTCTTTGGGGCCCTGGTTAGTAAGTATTCAAGCTCCATGCCCAACCGATAATTAGCTTTACTCCGTTTGCCACAAGGCTTGTCATCTAAAGTTAGGGAAAGTCCCAGCTTTTATTCCTTCTGCTGGTCTCCCCCTACTAAAAGATCCCGATTGTAACCCGAGCTGCAAAACCTTGATGTCCCACACAATGCTGGAGATAATCATCCGGCTATAATGCAGACACGGGCGAATACTCTGAACTGACTTGACTGTTTTTGTTTGCCTCACAGGGTCCACTTACAGCGTCTTGTCCACCATGCCATCAGACTCGGAAAGCAGCAGCTCACTCAGCAGCTTAGGTGGGTATGGTGCTCATGGTGAGGTACAAACTTTAAATTTAAAGGATGGAAAATAATGCCTTTCTTACGAGGGGAAAAACAAACCTACATATTCTAAGAATCATGCCACAGTTTTATAAATAGTAACTAGAGGATGGTTTCTGGCTGTTTAGACTCTGAGCACAAGCACGTGATTAGACAGATGTGAGCATGATTTAGTAAAAACACTCTACCCCCACTCACATGCACACACAGACCTGGTTCATTATGTTGTTCTGTAAAGGCCAGAGGATTTGGCTGGCACATGCCGTTAAAACAAAACAATTTGTATCAGCAGGTTTCTTTCCTTTGTGACGCTTTTTCCTCTTGCTAACAATAATTTAACAGTGATGTAATTAAATAAAAGTGTAATTCTTGTTTGCTTCCAAAAAAGGGTCAGTTTAAAGAATCAGTCAGGCTAAGGTCCCCCCTGAACACAACCATTTGTCACTCGGTATAGTTCTCGCTTAGTATGAAACTGCCAACTTTTTTTTGTTTTGTTGTATATCAGACTTTAGTATCCATTTGTACCATTTTCTGAAACTATGGTCATGTTGCCACTCTTTGTTCTCAGAGTTGGCTAAAAATCCAGATTGTAACTTTACCATTTTAAATAAACTGAATCTGCAGTAACTGCTAGACCTGTCACGATAACAAATTTTGTTGGGCGTTGAATTGTCTCAGAAATTATTGCGATAAACAATAATATTGTTTTGACCAATTAAAAAAGTTAGAAATTACTGTCAAATTTAAGAAGAAATGTTTAATTTGTTTTGCATGTAGTACCTTTTCGACCACCAGATGGCAGTACAAAACTGTTTGAACCGAAAGATGGATAGTGAGGGAGCGAGCAGCGTGCCTCTTTAAGAAAAATGGGAGGGAGGCGTCTTGACGTGACCTGGGCTGTCTCTCTTTGGTTCTCAAAATGGCGGACGCTCTGTGTGGTTTGAGCTCTTTAGCATAGCATTTTTTTACACAAAGCTTTTAATTAAAAAAAAAATCAGTAAACAAGTTCTCAGCTTCTTTTTGCAGAGAAAAACTTTTTACACAAAGGCACTGGTTTCAACTGTGAATTTTGGAGCTTCGACAAGATGGAGGTTTAAACGAAAATGAGGTTGATAATTATAATTTATCATGTGATGATTTTTATTTTTCGCGACAGGCCTAGTAACAGCCCCACCATTTTGCTCTTTGAGACCAGCACTTTTCCTTCATTGACATGTTGACGCTCGCAGGTACTTCTGGTCAAGCCTCCTCACCTCTCCCCACCAACATCGACGGCCACAGAGTCAACGAGAAGATGGAGACAGTCCTGTTCCAGCTGAGACAAGTGACTTGTGAAAGGGACGAATTACTCAAACGCTTGCCACATTCTTTACCTGGAACTACTTTTGAAGAATGCAGGTACTCATTAAGTCTTATACACCTTACTTCCTGTTCGTCTCTTTGCTCCTGTATGTAAAAGCTTGTCAGTCATGCTGTCACTCTCCACTGTAGTTTCTTAAAACCCGAATTATAGATTTGTCCCTTTTTAAAATTTTTTATAATAGACTAAACTCAAAAACGGGTCATGACTACGAGCGCCTAAAGCTGCAGTGCATGAAGGCAATGGCAGACCTGCAGTCCCTGCAGAACCAGCATAGCACCACCCTGAAGCGTTGTGAGGAGGCTGTGAAGAAAGCAGACTTTTACCGGTAAGTGAAACTTCTGGACATTTTGCACATGAGCTGTATCCTGCTCTGTGCACGTCGTAACATATTCGCAGCAGATTGCATAGACAGATTTTATTCTGCAAGAGTAATAGGGGATGAAGCTTTTATACCAGTTCAAAAGTCGCTGGGTTAAGCCATGAAAACAAAATCCCTTCAGTTATCCTTCAATTTAATTTAAAATTTGTTATTGTTTAAAAAAAGAATAAACGGTTTTTATAAGTCCCATGTTGTCTTTTCAGGACCGAAGTTTAAATCAGAAAGTGAATTGCTGTCCTTTATGCCAGAGCATGCTCTGTTTTTATTTAAGCACACAAACATGGCACAGATGTCCAGCCGCACAAATCAGTGTGGCTGTACATCTGTGCCATGTTGGTGAACTACAAACGGAGCATTTGTGGTCCTGTGATGTAAGCTGTGCAGAGCCGACATGATGGGAACGCTGGTCCATTTGTGTGATTTGATGATGCCATATTCTCCCCAAAGTGTTTGCGACCAACATCTGGTCCCCAATGCAAGTGGACAGATGAAGGATTATTGCAGTGTTTAAGCCTCTCCTTCTGGGCTCTGTTTGCACTGAAAGTATTTACTTGTAACTGTCCTGTCTGCTCCTGCATTTATCAAGCAAGCATCACACAATGTCAATAAAAAAAAGCCCATTTAGATCTGACCGTATATAAATCAATGGGTCACTTGGTACTTGTGCAAGCTTTTGATTCAGTAATCACTGAGGATTGCATTGTTCTACTGTTTGTGTCCATGGTACATCTTAGATGCATTTTACTAGATTTATCAATAAAAATATGACTAATGGGCAAAGAGAATATTTAAAATGTAACGAGTAGTATTTTGTACTGCAGCACTACCCAAGGAGATATAATTATTTTTAAATTGAGCACCTAAAAAAATTTATTGAAGTGCAATCATAACACATGCAGGACTTAAAACAGCTTAGCAATTAGGGATGTGAATCTCTCTCTCCAATAACACTGATCAGGCTTGTTGTGATATCTACTTAATATTCTGTGTAGATGTCTTGCGGGTGAGCACAATCAGCTGAAAGAGGAGCTGGAGGCAGTCGGACAGCACAACATCCAGCTGGTCAGAGAGTTGAACCACGTGAAGCAGGCCTGCGAGGAGCTGAGGAGGCTGCATGAAGACGACCAGAGGGAAGTTTCTGATATGAGGATGCTGCAGCAGCAGGTATCCGAGTAAAACTATCATGCATGCACATGTAGAATACAAAACGCGTACTATTGACTGTGTGCACAATGGAACTCTGAATGTCCTTTACATATAGTTTGATCTTGGCATTTGAACCAAAATTAAATTTAGTTCCTGTCCTTGTGACCATTGTATGCAAAAGAGCGAGCTGTTTAGACGAACGGGGTCAGACGGGTCCAGTCTTCCTATATCTCCATCGATCAAACCCATTTTAGAAATTTGAAAAACAACTTTAACCTTTGCCTTTTACTGTTACTTCATTTGACCTTGGCATATTCAGTTTCACTGCAATAAAAAGTTGTATCATTAAATGTTTCATTTGCATAACCATAAGAATGTCTGAGTTCTGTCTGATTGTACAAACGCATGCTCGGCACACATTTCTGAGGGGAGCTAGTGCTGAAGGTTATGGTGGAGGAGATGTGGATCCTCACAGACTGCGGTCTGTTTAAGAAGTCCAGGACCCAGTTGCAAACTATCAGACTTATCAGACTTGGCATGACTTTAAAGGTAGTTCATTTCATGCTTTCATGTCAAAATTTACATTAACTGTTTGCACCACTAGGACAACTGCAAGTGGTGCAAAACGAAGAATGGTCCTGCAAGGTACAGTTGTAAGGATAAAAAGCTGCTATTTTGTACTGTAACTTTTTTTCACCTCAATGTTAGTTTGTCTGGCAACCAAAATATAACGTTTTAATTTTACTTTCTGTGCCAAGATGCTGTTAACATTAAGAACATTATTTTTAGCCTTTGAAACCAATAAGAATGGTGTCTAAATTGAGCTGAATGATTAATTTGTGCTCAAATTTCACAGAAATTGTGAACATCTTAGTTTTTTTTAAAAGCATTTTCAACTAGATTCTGCAAATGAAAAAACTTCCATTTAAAAAATAAATAAATAAATAAATAAATAAAATTATTTTTATTCATTCACAGGTGATGAGAGAGGGTTCATCTGAAATCCTAAACAAGATGTATGAAACGGCTGTAGACAAGTTGGAGGTGATGAAGAGCGACTACGAGGCTCTAAGGAAGCGTTACAATGAAAAGACAGCCAGTCACAATGTGGACTTGATTCGTTTGGACCAGCTTGAGGAGGAGAACCACCGACTACAGAAAACACTGGACATTCTGTCTAAACAGAGGGACGCTGCCATCCACTATCAGCAGCAGTACTCCTCTTCAGTTAAAAGGTAGAGCAGAAATTATTCAACATTAGCAGCTGCACACACAAACCAAGCAGCTGGTAAAAACAACAAACGGCAAATGCCGTACTTGAGTGTTATTCTGAAGTCAAATCTTCAAAGTGCTTAAAACGGCTCAACAGAAGCTGAAGCTTTTCAGATCGACAAATCTTTACAAGTTCTTTTATATTTTGTGACACGTTCTAACATTTTTATATTGTAGTAAAGCAAAAATATAATTCAAAAACAATATTATGAGTTGTTAAATCATGATCGGTTTCAGGTTTGACAACACTAAAGAACTGAACAAAGCCACAGCGCAGAACAAGGAGCTGCAGAGAGAGTTGGACCGGCTGCATTCTGAGACGACACGGTTAAAGACCCAGCAGCTCAAGGCTGTGAAGGACTGCGAGAAGTACAAGGAAGAGCGGGACTCTGTGATCAGCGAGTATCGCTTGATCATGAGCGAAAGGGACCAGGTGATCAAAGAGGTGGACAGGCTTCAGACGGGCCTGGAGGTGGCGGAAGCAAAGCTCAAGAACAATTCCTCAGAGAGACGAGTGGCCAACGAGGAGCTGGAATCTCTGCGACAAGTAAAGAGCTTGTTGTTTAATCAGGACATGTTCAGAATTTAGAAACTTGCGTGATTATTAATGTTTACTGGTATTGTTTTTGCAACACGAAGGAACTGGCCTCTGCACTAGTGGACAGAGATCAAGCAATCTGTGAAAAGAACGAGCTGCTGGAGAAATACTGCCATGAGGTGAAGGACAAGACGGAGGCTCAGAAGGAGCTGAGTCAGGCCTGCAAAGCCATTGAGACAGTGCGTGAGGAGAGGGATGTGGCCCGCAAGGAGAGGACAGAGGCCATCATTCAGAGGGACCAGCTGCTGCGAGAGTATTACCAGGCCAGACAGGTAGCCAGACAGAGGGTTATTCATCAGTCCAAATAAAAGGATAGATTTACTTCAACAATAATCCTTTGAGCTCCTCTCATTGTGATGGTAGTAAAAGTTTGTTTTCATCAGCTGTGCAGTTTCCACTCATTGATTTAAATGAGAAATGAGCTTCACTGTTCACTTTTACTGATCGTCAGCTTATTATAAGGAAAGCCAAAGATTCTTGCATTAGGAAAATTGCCACTAATTAAAGTGACAAACGGCACAGTGTCAGAAATGAATAGTGCAGTCAAGTCTAATTTAGCAGCAGACTTAAGTGTATTGAGAGCATAAATTAACTGTCATTCGCTCTAGAGTTATTTAAAATGAGACCAATAGACTCATCAGACATTTGTTCTATATCTGACCAGCTTTAAACCCCACTTATTCCGTTATATCCATGATCCTGTTCACGTCAGAGGATGGCTTTTTGTTTGTAGTGTACTTTGTACAGTGTACATGCATACAGTGTACATGCATAGTGTACATTTACAGCTGTATTAATTACGTGGCTTCAAAATCATTTTAAACCTATTGATTGGTTTGAAGGATTGCACAGAAAGGGCTCAGACCCGTTTATACTAACCCAGGGGTCTGCGATCTTTTTGACCTAAAGAGCCATTTCTGCCACTGTTCTCACAGTGTCTTGAGCTGCAAAACCTGCTTATCAACTGGTGGCCCATGGGCCACTTGGAGGTTGTTGGAGGAAGGTTTTTCTGGCCAGTTGGGCTGACATAAAACTAAAAATGTGATTTATTTATTTATTTATTTATTTTTTTATTTTTTTTTATTTTTTTAACATTTTAGGGTAAAAGGAAAACTCAAAATTAGGGGAAAAATGGTTTCTACAAAGTCTTTGCAGGCGTATGCAAGTGTTTTTTTACTGACTTAAAATTAAGTATAATAAAACATAAAATTTTAAAGTATGCAGAAAAAAATTGCCATTTTTCTGGACAAGTTATTTATTTTTAAGAAATATCCCACTAAGCTTGGAGGTTGGATAAATGAAGTAGCTAAATGTAATGAACACGTTTCACTTCTTGTATTTCACAAATTTACAGAAAATGTCCCCAACCCCCCCCAGCTAAAACCCGCATTCTCTGTTGTGGGATTAATAATAAAAAAAATAAAAAAAATGGCAGTATTATGTTAGTTTTGGTCAAAGCTTCAAAGTATCACAATTGAGAAACTAAAGAGCTGCATGTGGCCCCTGAGCTGCAGGTTGCAGACTTCTGTCCTAACCTTGTGAAAGATTTTGCACCTTACCGTATTTTCCACTGTACACGTTGCACCTCCTTATAAGTCACATCAATTCAAATTACTTGTTTGCTCGAAATTATATTAAAGATGTGTCTCAGTCTAACTTTTCCTTAATAAATGCACTTTGTCAAATCGGCTGCATTTCAAAACCCGATTTGCGGAAGCACGCAGAGGGAGAGCACGCTGTGAATTTCTTCGAAATTTAACAAGTTAACCACCCAAAATCAATTAAAAAAAATAATTTTTTTTTGCTCCTCTTCAGAGTAAAGGTGTGTCTGTTTAACTTTTACTTAATAAATGCCCTTTAATGGTCAAATCCACTGCATTTCGCCGAGGCGGCGCAGAGAAATGATGGCAAGCCGATTGTGTCATTAATGGCTACTTTTACCTATTGCATGACAAAATGGCATGCCATACTAAAGTGCCATCTAGTGGTTCAATATTTTCAGTAAGAATGAATGAAAACGGTAATATCTCAGCCAAAAACTGGTTTATAAATATGGGGAAAAAAATCCATAAATGTGTCTTATAAGGCACAGGGCATGTAAATTATGCAAAAACTGCGACTTACAGGCTGAAAAATGTTATTGTTGAGGGGAAAAAGACTGGGATGAGAACTTATTTTTGAATGATTTTAACAGCAAGAGGCAGTGTTTTTAGATCAAGTTACACTGTTGCTCACAGTGTTTCTATGCAACAGTATTCAAAGGTTGACTTAAATTATTGGCCTTTTTCAGAATAAGACTTTAAGTAAAGGTTTTAATTGTGCTTTACTAGATTAAAAGCAGCAGACTTGTCTGCCTCTTTTGTGCACTTTGACACGATTCTTTTATCGCCCTGCATTTTTGTCTGCACCTCCAGAAACAAGACTCCGCTACTCTGGACATGGAGCGAGCCAACAAGGAGATCGAGATGCTGAGGAAGCAGTACGAGGCCATCTCTCAGGAGCTGAAGGAAGCGCTGCAAGAAGCAGAGGTGGCCAAATGTCGACGGGACTGGGCCTTTCAGGAGCGGGACAAGATAGTGGCAGAGAGGGAGAGCATACGGTAAACCATCCGTTTAAAGGACGCCTGTCTGTAGAATGTCCACATATTTCATATGGTTACTGCTCGTAAGCACAGATTTGTCTAAAAATAGATGTCGGCTAATTTATGGTATTGTTTACTCCATCCAGCACGCTGTGTGACAACCTGAGACGAGAGCGAGACAGAGCTGTGAGTGATTTGGCAGATGCTCTAAGGAATCTGGATGACATGAGAAAGCAGAAAAATGATGCTACACGGGAACTCAAAGAACTAAAGTGCGTCTTTCCTCCACACTTATTTGACTCTCCCCCCGTGCAACATTATCTGCACTATTTTAGGACTAACAAAACATTATTAGCACTGCAGTGGGTATCCAGTTATTTGAATGATAGGAGACAGTTTGTACAGGTAAACAATGTAAGATCTGAATTTTGTGTGAATGGGTGTGGAGTTCCTCAAAGCTCTGAGTTGGGAACAAAGTTGTTTGTTTTGTATGTGAATAATCTGGTTGACGTGTCGGGGCTTTTGAAGTGTTTTCTTTGCAGATGATGGATTTTTTTTTTTTTTGTTCGGGTGAAGATATTGAACGGATGTTAAAGGTGATACAGGCAGAATTTGTAAAAATACAAACTTGGTTCCAACTTAAGTTACCATTAAATTAGGAACAAACAAACTACATGATAGTTTGTAATATAAATAAAATTATTGAAGTCCCATTTAAAATTGACAGTATTGAAATTCATAGTTAATGAAATAATATTTTTGGGTGTCGTTATTGATGAGAAGCCGACATGGAAATCTCATGTAAATTACTTAAGAATAAAAATGGCTAAATCAATTGCATTACTGTATATAAAGTAAGTTTTTGAATAACAAAGCTTTGTATTGTATAATATAATGATAGTTCCATATTTAACATCTTGTATTGAAGTTTGGGAAAAGCATGCAAAACAATTACAAATCCTATTTTTAGTTTACAAAAAAGAGCTATAAGAATTAATAGTAGGAAATGCTATGGTCACCCAACAAATCTATTATTTCATCATCTGAAATAAAAATTTATGATTTGGTTGAATATAGTATTTTACAAGTCATGTATAAAGTTCATAAAACATATTATCCCCAAATATTAAATTAAAATTTGTTAATAAAGAGTCTTTAACCTTAAAGGAATGGAAATGTTTGTAAAACCTCCATTCAGAACTAATCTGAAGGAGTAATATCACAATAACAATTTCAAAAACAATTTGTTTAAAAAGATGAGCAAGTTAAATTTGTTAGGAAAATATGATGCCATGTGAAGGCTGCCTAATATTTTTTTTTTTTACTTTTTGGAGATGTTCTTGCGTAAATTGTTTTTTTTGTAATTTTATATATACATTTTTAAATAAGGGGCAGATATAAAAATTTTGTCTTCTTTCTGCACCCTTTTCATTCAATGTATTTTTTTTCCTTTTGAGTTATTTTGTTTCTTTTTAAGTGAATGAATAAACGAATAAAAAAAATAAAATTATTAGGCTATATAGATGAGCGTTTCTTTTGACTGGGTATACTTTAATGCAAAGTGGAGACATTTAATCTGAACTTTTCCCAAAGAGCTGAATGTTTTCTGTTTTCTTGCAGAGAAAAGCTGGATAATCAATTGGAGAAGGAAGCACGATATCAGCAGCTGATTGTTCACAGTTCACACGATTCAGCCATAGACACAGACTCTATAGAATGGGAAACGGAAGTTGTAGAGCTTGAAAAGCAAAGAGTAAGTTAGTCGTACTTTTAATTACCGTACTAAACAAATGCATAAAGTTCAATCAAAACATTGAGACATTTTCTGTGTGGTCTTTTTCCCCCTAGGATATGGATTTGAATGCTCTTGGGTTTGAAATTGCTGAAGGGGTAAATGATTCATATTTACCAGGCGATAGCATCATATTTGTCTCCAAGGTGGATAAAGGAGGTATTGCTGAAGGGAGATTAAGGTAAACATTGTTTTTTGCTCTAATACTTGATAGATTTGGTGATGATGCTTTTTTTTAAATTTTTTTATTTTTTTTGTACTATTAAATCTTTAAACGGAGTAAAAGCTAATCTTTCTCGCTGCAGGGTGAACGATTGGCTGTTGAAAATAAATGATGTCGATTTGACTAATAAGGACAGAAAGCAGGCGATCAAAGCTGTGTTGAACGAGGAGGGGGTGATCAATATGGTGGTACGAAGACGAAAGTCGTGTGGGGGACGGATTGTTACTCCGATCCAGATAAACCTGGCCGGACACAAAGGTCAGCTTCAAGTTCCACATAAGAAGCAAGATTAAGTATTTTTACTCAAAATCATTTTGCTTTAAAAAGTACGAACAATATTCCAGTGCGATTGAAGATTCTGTTTTACTTTATTTGAAGGCAGTTTTCTGTAAATGACAAATGTTTCTCGTCTTTCTTCTCAGACTGTGGCATTAGTTTGGAAAGTGGAGTTTTTGTTGCCAGTTTGGCTGCAGGAAGTCCAGCCTCCAGAGATTGTAATCTTACTGTTGGTGACAGACTATTAGCGGTAAGTATGCCAGCTTAAAAACTGGAGTTACTCAAAACAAGCTGCTTTAGTGCCAAAACACAACTATTAGATTAAATCTAGCCTGCAGCGCCCTCTACTGGCCAAGAACAGACAAACACAGACTATAGTGTATGTGCATATGCAACGTTAAAGTTCAGAAAATGTAGTTTTATTCTTGGGAACATTTTGGTCAAATCCATTATTTAACCATTTCTTCTGTCAAAGTAAAAATTACTGTGTATAAAGTTTTGATACATGCCTAATCTAAAATAAAATTAAAAACTATTGATCTGCAGGAAATTATTGTGCCAGAGTTTCAATACAAAGGAACGTACACAAGGAATAATGCACATAAAAACAAAACGGAATATTAAAAAAAAACCAAGAATATGAAAATGCCAATTAATTTCTAAAACGGGTCAGGTGCAGACAGAAACATTAAATTGTTTTATTGTAGTGCAGAATTAATTTTATTGTTCTGTGAAGAAAGGGGGAGGAGTTGAAAAGTTTGATAGCCACAGGGAGACAGGACTTCCTGTGAGTCTGCATTAAATTAATATTTTGAAGGCTTCATGAAGATTTTATCAAATCTTCATGGTCATGGTCTTCATGGAAATCAGGTCTCTCTTGTAAAAATGAGTCCTCGAGGCTCAATGGGATTTACCTGTCTAAATAAAGGCTGATTGATTGATTTTATGAAACTGGAATGCAGTAATTTCTGATTTTACATACTTTTTAAAGTCAAGTTCCTTTTTAAAAATTTAAAGTATTTAAGTTGCTTTATTAAATTATTATTTATTTTTTGGTCTGCTTGTCTATAATCACTGAATTTTAGAGATTACAGTGTTCTGCCTTCACTTCACTTAAGTCCCTGAAGGGCAATTCATTTACAATAAGTAGTAGTGGTAATGACAGCCAGCACATTCATACAAACTTTTAATCATGACAAAGTTAATAAAAACAGGGTAAAAAGTTACAATATTAATAATGCATAAAAACATGACTAAAAAAAAAAAAAGCGTCTTGACTGTAATAATTAAATAACCTTGGGTCAAGGCATTAAATCTATATTTAATTTAAAAACCAATTACTGTGGGGATGAAAGAGTTCTTTAATCTGTTCGTTCTACTGTGTACCTAGGTCCACAGAAAAATAAAAATTAGTAGATTGATGTGTAGAGGATGCGTGGAATCTACCAATTTTTATTTTAGTTTTTTGGCTTTGGATACTGATCTGGACTTGAATAGGTCCATGATGTAATTCAATTGATTCCCTATGAATTTTCTGCATTCTTTGACAACACCCTGTAGGCGTTTAGGTTTTTTTTTTTTTTCAAGTTCAACAACCCAAACCAGCAAAGAAATGAAAAAATTGAGACAGATTCAATAAAACGGCTGTAAAACATTTTAATAAAAATGCAGTCAACATTTAAGCTCCTCGGCTTCCAGAGGAAATGCCTCTTGTGTATTTTCCGGCAGATTCCATCAGTCTGGGACTCAAATGTCAATTTTTTTTGTCCATCGTTATGCCCAGGTACTTGTGTTCTTGCACCTCTTCCACTACCTGACCCTTAATAATAACAGGAGGGAGAGGGGCAGGAGCCTTCCTAAAGTCTATGCACATCACTTTTGTTTTTGATGCGTTGATGTGCAGGAAAGATGGCTGGCACCACTCCAGTCCTGCAGGACATCATCTCGGCCTTGGCAGAAAAGTGCAATAATCAAAGTCTTACTTTGTTTTTTCTTTTTGTACACAGATCAATGGGATTGAACTTGATGACAAATGTCTCTCTGAATGTGAATCTCTGTTGAGGAACTGTGGAAACTCTCTCAGGATCTCCCTAATGAAGGTGACCACCTCAGACTTTACAAAATAAGAGTATTATTTATCATATCTAGGCCTGTCACGATAACACATTTTGCTGGGCGATTGTCTCAAATTATTGCGATAAACGATAATGTTTGAAATTTGACAATAATTAGTAATGTCAAATTTAAGAAGAAATTTAAAATTTTTGTGAAGTACCTTTTTTGACCACTTGATGAAAGTATAGGGCTGTTTGAACTGAAGGATGGATAGTGAGGGAATGAGCAGCGTGTCTCTTTAAGAAAAATGGGAGGGAGGCCCCTTGACGTGACATGGGCTGTCTCTCTTCAGTTCTCAAAAATGGCGGATGCTCTGTGTGGTTTGAGCTCTTTAGCATAGCATTTTTCACACAAAGCTTTTAATAAAAAAAAATCAGTAAACAAGTTCTCAGCTTTTTGTAGAGAAAAACAACTTTTTACATGAAGGCACGGGTTTCAACCGTGAATTTTGGAGCTTCGACAAGACGGAGGTTTTTTCCCCCAAGGTTGGCCTGTTAGCTTAGCTCGTAGCTTAGCTTCTCAGCTGATCTGCTTTTAACAATCCAAAAACACAATTTTGGGTCGTTTAAAATGGGTTTTAAAGGGAAAAGCAAAATGGAGGGGTCAATGAAGAGCACCGGAGTTGAGCCTCGTCTTCAGGAGAAAGACTGACACGAAGAAACAATAAAGCCGTTAAATGAGACTGAGGTCAATAATTTAAATTTATCATGCGATTAATTGATTTATTGTTTATTGCGACAAACCTAATTCTATAGTAGTGGCTGTCAAGTTGTTTATGGCGTGATTTATTTTTGAACGTAGATTAAATAAGTAAGAAACTACTAATTGCGTATTTACTTCCCTTTGACAGTTTTTCCCACCGAGCTGTTCCGGACACAATTTGTTTGAAATGTTGAGGGACTCAGAAAAGACTTTGCGGTTCCAGTCTGGAGAAATCCACACCAGGAGCTGCAGGAACTCTAAGCACAACTGCTCGACTCAAACTGAAAGCTACAAGTCGGGCAGCAGAGAAGAGCGCGTCTTTAAAGAAACTTGTGATTCTTTGGAAAACGGCAGCAGCTCTCATCCCCGCCACAAAACCTTTTCCCATAGCTCCCAGCACGCCTGCTCGGTTTCCATTTCCCACAGTCCTTCAGAGCCGCATCCAGCACTCTGTTACCGGAGGCCGGATCTCGGCCCTCATCCTCTCACCTTCACCCCTGTTCTTTCTGAAGGAAACTCTACTCAGTCGTCTGTAGATGGAGGGCAGAGCTTTCCGCTGAAGGCTGGTGGAGGGACATGGCCAAAAGTCATAATGGGAACTTCTATTACTGAAGCAAACCCACTGTCAATCTTTAAAAAACCCAAACAGAGGAAGTCCATCTTTGATGTGGCTGCTTTCAGGAGGCCTGAGGCAAACCCTCAGCTGGACTACATGTCTCAAATGTCCAAGCACTCTCCACAAAGCTCCGTGTCTGAACCTGCTCAGACACCACCCACCCCACCAGCCAGGAGCGACTCGTTTAGATTCAAACATCGTCAACAAAACAGCTCTGCGTCCGACTCCACCATCACCAATGGCACTCCTCCTGCCTCTGCGGCTCAAGGCGCAAGCCCCCAGGATGAGGGGTTGGTGGGGAGCCAGCTCTACTACGTCAACACGCCTCCAGAAAAGACCAAGAAACACTGTGAGGATGAAGGGAGTCGACGCAGAGCAGAGATGCAGGAGAGGAGGCGGTACCGTCCAAAATCTGCACCAGCTCTGCGGCGGAATGTGACTCCGTTACACATCCCTGCTCCCATGCAGGTAACTGGTTTATAAGTTGTGTATCCTGATAAACAAACGAGAGGAGTGCTGCTTTAGCATTTTGAAATGCATGCCTGTGTAATGGGTACACTGGATTTCTTGTTTGGAGAGTGATTCAGATTAAAAAAAAGTACTGTTAGCTGTCTGAAACCGTCCTGATGACCTGACTGAATTTTGAATAATTTTTTTTGCCGTCTGGTTTTGTTTTCCCCTCAGACACAAAGTTTCTCTAACGATGAGCACTCCCCGGAGCCAGTGGACTTGTTACGTTTCTCTCCTTTGAGGACTAATCGTTACAGCATGCCATTTGCACCCCCGGGCTACATTAGCATCTCGGCACGTGAGTCATCAGCACATCTGAACGTGTTCCGATTTGCATTTAAATAAACGTGCATTTGTCAGTTAATAAAAACTAGAGCTCAAGCCTGTTTTTATTTATTTTATTAGACCCACCCCAGCGACGTTTAGCGCAGTGTCCTGCTGTGGCAGCTGCTATGAAGAACCCAGTTTATACAACCTTGAGCCACGAGATTCAAACCAACAACTGTCCTTCAGCTCCTAACTCAGGAATCCATCTTCATTCACAACAGAGGTTTCTGCCAGTTTGTTTTTAAGCTAAATCTATTTTGTTGTTCAACTGAATAAACCTTTTTTTTTTTTAATACAAATATTTTAGACTTGTCATAAGGGTCTTGTACGGCTCCCATCTATTATAAAAATTAATAACATCGTGTAGGAAGGAGGGTAAAAAGACCCAAATCTGTTGTGTTGCATGTACAAAAGTGTCCACCCTGCCCCAGATCTCATGAACAGATGGCATGAAGCAAATCAGATCTTGCTCTGGGTTGAATAATTGACTGCCGGGGGACTTACATAGGCCTCTCTTTCTACTTTTAGGCCCCAGAATCATGGACCCCTTAGTCTGGACCTCAGCCACAAGCGCAATGGAGACTTGACGGAGACCAACTGCAGCCAAACACCACACGGCACTGACTCGCTGCCCTCTGCAGCCAGGCTGAGTATGTATGGTGTCCTAGTTTTGAACCGAACATGTTTAAAACATCCAAAAAGCAATTTGATTTCTGGTGACTTTAAATTTATTTTGTTCTGATAACAGTTTTTTTTTTTTTTGTTTAGCCATGAATATGAAGTGCATCCAGAAAGTGTTCAGTGCTTCACTTTTTCCACATTTTGCTTTGCCTCATTTCAAATTGTGTTAAATTAATAAATTACCTAGTTACTCAAAATTCTACACACAATACCCCATTATGACAATGTGATTTAAAAAATTTTTTTTTGCCAATTTGTTAAAAATAGATAATTAAAATCACATTTACGTATTCACTCTTTGCGATGATGCTCCCAACTTGAGCTCACATGTTTCCACTGATCATCCTTGAGATGTTGGTACAACTTAAGGAGTCCACCTGTGGTAAATCCAGTTGCTTGGACTTGACTTGGAAACGCACCTGTCTATAGAAGGTCCCACAGTTGGTGCAAGTCAGAGCACGAACACCAAGCATGAAGACAAAGGAATTGTCTGTAGACCTCCGAGACAGGACTGTGTTGAGGCACAAATCTGGAGAAGGAAACGGAAAAATTCTGCTGCTTAGATGGTCCCAATGAGCCCAGTGGCCTCCATATATGGAAGAAGTTCCAAACCACCAGGACTCCTCCTAGAGCTGGCCGCCTGTCTAAACTGAGCGAACAGGGGAGAAGGACCTGATGGTCACTCTGTCAGAGCGCCAGTGTTCCTCTGTGGAGAAAGGAGAACCTTCCAGGACAAACATCTCTGCAGCAATCCACTAATCAGGCCTGTGTGATGATGGTGGCCAGATGAAACCCACTCCTTAATAAAAGGCACGTGACAGCCTGTCTGGTTTACCAAAACACACCTGAAGGACTCGGACCATGAGAAACACAATTCTCTGGTCTGATGTGAATATCAGGCGTCATGTTTGGAGGAAACCAGCTCCTCACCAGGTCAAGACATCCCTACAGTGAAGCATGGTGGTGGCAGCATCATGCTATGGGAATGTTTTTCAGCAGCAGGAACTGGCAGACTAGTCAGGGTAGAGGGAAAGATGAATGCAGCAACGTAGAGACATCCAGGATGAAAACTTGCTCCAGAGCGCTCTTGACCTCAGACTGGGGCGACGGTTCATTTTTCATCAGGACAACGACCCAAAGCACATGGCCAACATCTCCAAGGAGTGGCTGCAGGACCACTCTGAAGATCCTGGAGTGGCCAAGCCAGAGTCCAGGCTTGAATCCTGTTGAACATCTCTGGGGATATCTGAAAATGGTTGCACAGACGTTTCCATCCAACCTGATAGTTTGAAAAGTACTGCAGAGAAGAATAAGAAACTGTCTAAAGCAGGTGTGCCCAAAGTGGGGCCCGTGGGCCAAAGTTGGCCCGCCAAGCCATTTCAGTTGGTCCACAAGCTGTCCTCATTACTATATTAAAATTTCCTTTTGAAGAATCAATGTGTTTACACTCATTGACTCCACCCATTAACTTTATTGTTAGTCGACCTGACTACCATAATTAAACTACATGGATTCACAGTAGAGTAGATAATTTATGCATTTTTAAAATAATTTAATTTATATTTTATTTTGACAGACTTTCTACCATCCCTCTGCAGTTTCTTGTCACTGAATAACATTTTCCTTTGACAGAACACACTTATAAATCACAGTGTTTAAAAGTAAATTGTAAATATGAACTGGTTTTAGTGGTGATTTGAGCCTCTTTATTTTTCAGGGGTGCCGAGTTTAAATTGAAAGAAACCATCATTAGGATTGTGTAAGGAAACGATTCTCAAACCTTAGATTCACCAAAATATTGATAACTATGGAATCAATAAGTCTCCAATGGGCCAATAAAATCGGATTAATTTGTTTGTTTTTTGCACGAGTCCTGCCACCTGTCAAATCAAGCCAGTAGGCACATCAGCAACGGACCAATCAGCAACCTCGATATGTGCTAAGTGAACGTCCCTTACCTGCAGAGCTGCTGTGGTGTTGCATTACGAACGCTTTGCAGTCAGATTTCAATAACAAAGTTTTTACTTTTGTTTCATGTTAATCTACAGTAATAAACTTTTGTAAAATACACCAGAACGCAGGAAATGGCATCTATTTTATTCAAAATTCTCTGGGGGAGGACCCCCCACCACCACCAATGCAGCCTGTTCTGTAATGTTCTTTATACAGAATGGAAGGATAAATAACAAATAAATGGACTTTAAATAATTATTTGCATTTCATGTATTATTGCGTTTGGCCTGCAGCCCTCTGATGGATTTTAAATTTGTCCCTCTAAGGGAAAGAGTTTGGGCACCCCTGGTCTAAAGAGAGGTGTGCTAAGCTTGAAGCATCACATTCAAAAAGTCTGGAGGCTGTAACTGCTGCCAGAGGTGGATCAACAAAGTATTAAAGGCTGTGAACACTTAATAAATGTGATTTTTCTATTTTGCATAAATTTGCTCAAATCTATTTCTTCACATTGTCATATTGGGGTATTGTGTGTAGGACTTTGAAGAAAGACAATAATACACTAATAAGGCTGTAACATCAGAAAATGTGTAAAGTGAAGCGCTGGCTGTGAATACTTTGTGGATGCACTAATATTTTGTTACACGGGACAATCCAGGTGTTTCTATTTCAATGTAAAAGAAAACGGATTACGATAAAAGATCAAGTGCCTGTTCAAGCCAAACAACTTCCTACTGTTTTAATAAGTTTAGTTGCAAACTCAGGATCTTCTTTTATTCTGCCAAATTCTTCTAATTTAATTTGTTGGGTCTGGGCAGGCTATTATTTCAGTTAACCTTGGGGAAAAAATAAAAACTAGACTTTTTTTTGTTGTTCCACAATGGGTTGCAGTATTTAAAGAATCTTCAGCAATAATATAAAATAAAAAAAATACAAAATATATTTTTGTTTATGGAAATAAAAAGGGCTGGAAGTTTCTTTAGTTTTTTACAAATCCTCTTCATTAATGTTACTGAGAGCATTTGATCCTGAATTCAGTAGGTTTTAAAATGCTGTGGACCACGGGAGTTGAATGAAACTGTGTCTACCACGTGCTGAAAGATTGTTTTTGATTTATCAAGAGGTTTGAAGCTCAAGGCTGTTTGTTCTAAGGAAGAGAAAGCTTAACGTATAGTTTAGTACAAAGCAAAGATTACACATTTGATTTCTTCTTTAAGTGACATAACCTTAAGAAGAAACGCAATAAAAATGGATCTGATTCAGCTCAGGTCATGACGGCAACTAAGAGGCTGCATCGATCTAAACGCTCATGTTCATTAGATAAGCAAATCACAGGAATTCTTCATTTCTAGTAAGACTGAGTGTTTCCGTGTTCTTTGTTTTAGGCTCCCCTGGTGCTTTACGGTTTCGTGCAGAACGCATTAAGATCCCTCCAGCTCGTTCCTGTCGCTCTGCTGGATCAGACAAAGGTCTGGATTACATCACCTGTTGGTGAATGCTGTTGCTGTACATGACACAAGCGCTTGTCTCTGTCACTCCAGGCTCTCTTTCACACTCGGAGTGTAGCAGCCTGACGCCTCCGACGTCACCCGTCAACTTGGACACATCGTCTTTCTCCAGCAGCCAATCCCAAAGCTCCACTTCCTCCCAGCCCAGGATATCAGCCAGTCCTGCTCCAGCTGGTGACAGGAGGGAAGGGTAAGCCAGCACCTTGTCTGCATCCTCGTGCCATCATTCATCAGAGCATGACATGTTGTTTCCACTCTTTGTCTGGTTCATTAAGATTAAATGCTTTGTGTGCAGTAAACAAATCTATAACCATCTCGAACTGAACGCTGACTCACCTTACCTCCGTCTTTTCTGCAGCTTATCATAACCTGAAATCTTTCTCTGCAGCTTCAATCGATGTTTCTTCTTTTTTTATGTGCTTCTCAGATTTCTCTCTTTCTGCACTCCTTCTGTTAGACGTCCACCAGTAAAGCCCAAGTTCTTCTCTTTGAGAAGCTTGAGGTTCGTCCCAAGCTACTTGTAGCACAAATGGAATAATGCAATTACTGCAAGAATTATAGAGAACTCTCTCTCTACTCTTTGTGCACGCTGCAAATATAAATGCTATGTTCTGCTGTATTTAGCAGCACTGGTGCATGATTTAAACTGAGTGTTAAATTTACCTTAATTATGAAATGGTTGCTTTCCTTTTGGTCATCTCTAATCTTGATGCTTGTTGATAATTGAAGATGTTAAATTTTAGAATAATTTCACGACGGAGTTGAATTTGAACGTGAACTTGGCATATTCTGCACAGCTCCTGTATCGTTTTTAAAACTTTATTTTAAATAAATTGCAATCAATCTTTATACTGAAGGAATCATGAGATGTAATTTACAGTAATTGTAAAGCTGTTTGTATAATAAATGACTTTAAAATGTGTGCTGTTGTATAAACAGTTTTTCCACAACACTGTCAGCATTATTAATAGACCTCAGAAGCATTCTGCTTTAAACAAGATATTATAGTTCAATTTCAAAGGGTAATTTGTTAGGTTTATTTACAGAGTAAAAATACCATTGAAAAGTATTAAACGTAAAAGGTTATCCTGAACCTGTGGTTTGAAAGTTTACTGTTGTAGTTTTCCAGTTATATTGCCATGAAATTATGAATTGCAGGTACAGTAGTCCCTCATTTAGTGTGGTGGTTAAGTTATAGACCCCCTGGCAATACAGGTGTTGGTCATAAAATTAGAATATCATGAAAAAGTTTATTTCAGTAAGTCCATTCAAAAAGTGAAACTTGTATATTCATTCATTACACACAGACTGATATATTTCAAATGTTTATTTATTTCAAATGTTTATTTCTTTTAATGTTGATGATTATAACTGACAACTAATGAAACTCCCAAATTCAGTATCTCAGAAAACTGGTATATTGTGAAAAGGTTCAATATTGAAGACGCTTGGTGCCACAATCTAATCGGATAATTAACTCAAAACACCTGCAAACGGTCTGTCTAGTTCTGTAGGCTACATGATCATGGGGAAGACTGCTGTCTTGACAGTTGTACAAAAGACGACCACTGACACTGCACAAGCAGGGCAAGAAACAAAAGGTCATTGTTAAAGAGGCTGGCTGTTCACAGAGCTCTGTGTCCAAGCACATTAGAGAAGCGAAGGGAAGGAAATGATGTGGTAGGAAAAAAAAAGTGTACAATCAATAAGGATAAACGCACGCTGGAGAGGATGGTGAAACAAAACCCATTCCAAAATGTGGGAGAGATTCACAAAGCTGGAGTCAGTGCTTCAAGAACCACCACGCACAGATGTACACAAGACATGGGTTTCAGCTGTCGCATTCCTTGTGTCAAGCCACTCTTGATCGAGACATCGTCAGAAGCATCTCGCCTGGGCTAAAGACAAAAAGGACTGGACTGTTGCTGAGTGGTCCAAAGTTATGTTCTCTGAAGTAAATGTTGCATTTCCTTTGGAAACTAAAGGTCCCAGAGTCTGGAGGAAGAGAGGAGAGGCACATAATCCACGTTGCTTGAGGTCCAGTGTCAAGTTTCCAGTCAGTGATGGTTTGGGGGTGCCATGTCATCTGCTGGTGTTGGTCCACTGTGTTTTCTGAGGTTCAAGGTCAATGCAGCCATCTATCAGGTTTTTTTTTTTAGAGCACTTTCTGCTTCTGACCAACTTTATGGAGATACAGATTTCATTTTCCAACAGGACTTGGCACCTGCACACAGTTCTAAAGCTACCAGTACCTGGTTTAAGGACCATGGTATCCCTGTTAGTAATTGGCCAGCAAACTCTTCTGACCTTAATCCCATAGAAAATCTATGTGAAGAGGAAGATGTGATATGCCAGACTCAACGATTCAGAAGAGCTGAAGGTCACTATCAGAGCAACCTGGACTCTCATCACACCTGAGCAGAGCCACAGACTGACCGACTCCATGCTACGCCGCATTGCTGCAGTAATCCAGGCAAAAGGAGCAACAACTAAACATTGAGTGCTGTACATAATCATGCTTCATTTGGCCAACATTTCTAAAAATCTTTTTTTTAATTTTTTTATTGGTCTTGAGTAATAACAAAAAAGGTTGAATCATGTCATCTGGACTTCGTTTTTTTGTTAAAAAGAAACGTTTCGCCCCTCATCCAAGAGGCTTCGTCGGTCTGAGGCCTAGCCATCTGGTATTACCCAGAAGCCACCCTGACTCTTGTGTTTCAAGCCTGCCTCAGATACCCCTGAAGTCTGGCCTTTTCACTAATGGTTTCAAAAACACAAAGTTTGTTTTCTCAGTCATCCAGGTATATAACAACAAAAAAGGTTGAATCATGTCATCTGGACTTCGTTTTTTTGTTAAAAAAAACAAATGGCTAGGCCTCAGACCGACGAAGCCTCTTGGATGAGGGGCGAAAC